GATCTGCTAAGACTTCACACTCTGGATCAGACCTTAAATGGGAGAGGATATAAGTTATAAACTGATGATTAACATGCTGCGTAAAATAGTTGGAGTTCTTCTCTGTTGTACTGTGTAGGTCCAGTCTGAGTTGTTATATTCTCTGTGGTGTATGTTACACTTTGTTTAATTATTGAACCTGTCACTTGACCAGAGCCAAAGCTGCTGTTGGAGCTGCTCCTGCCAACATGTGTAACCAGGCTACACTAAACAAACAACTTGGCTGCTCCGTTTTCTGTGTGGCTCTGAATCTGCAGTTGTAATTGTCAGAAAATGAGCTCTGATGTTTTAGTGTCACGGCCAAACTATGACAGCAGAGCTGTGGCTCAGGGGTTCCCGGAGAAAGAGCCTCCTGTACAGCCGGGTGTCCCGCAGCCGTCTTCGGGCTCAGCCACCGCGGGGTACCGCTCCGCTAAATACACCCCGGCTGAGTGGTTCTCCAACTACCACGCTATCCTCCAACAGGCCGGTACCGACCACCGCGAAGCCCGGAGCGTCCAGCGGGAGTCCAAGACGCTGTATCAGGACACCGAGACAGCCACTGTGAACACCCAGGCTCAGGGAACGCGTCTTCTGGGAGAGAGACTACAAGATCTCCACTCCTGGAAGTCTGAGCTGCAGCGGCACATCGAGCAGCTGCGGGCCGACACCGAGTCTCTGATGCCGCTGAAGATGCGGCTGGAGAAGGCGCTGGACGCCACCGAGACGCCATATGCCATCGCCACCGATAATCTGAACTGCAGGGCCAGAAGACTGGGCCCAGACCTGGTCAGAGACACCGTGGAGGAGGAGCTGCTGAAGGTGACCACTGACAGTAATGATCAGTAAAGTGAAGCTTTGTGTCATGGTGAAACAGGACATCATTAAGGCATGGCAGAAAAGAAACGTGAACAGGACTAATCTAAAAGTAAAGTCATAAAGAATAGCCTTACCAGCCTTATAAACAGGACATTACACAAATTGTTTCTGAGAATAAACGTAGCAGGTCAAATTTATGAACTCATTTATAACAGTAGGTTGTTTTTCTAATTAAAATAACAGAGTTGCAATGATTATCAATTAGTCAACAGAAGATGAGTAACTGTTCTGATCAAAGTCCATTTGCAAATATGACTGATTGTTCCAGCTTCTCAAATTTAACAATATGCTGCTTTTCCCGGCCTTACATTAGACTACATTTAATATCTCTGGCCATTGATCTGTTATTCAAACAGTAGGTCATTTGATATTGTCACTTTGGACTCTAGAAAATTAGGATGTGAAAATAGTCAGCTGATAAAATGACACTAAGATTTAAAAGAAGTGTGACTGTGTTTCATAGGAAGTGGACTTGATCAGGAGCATCCAGGATCTTTTGAAGAGAACTACAGCTCAGGTTGTCACTCAGATCAAGTGAGTGTCTGTTTAGTCAGAGTTAAACTGCCTGACATGGACCTCACTTATAAAATAACATTTTGTTTGAGGCTCTTACTGCAGAGAAGTGATTTGTGTTGTGCGGTTACATGTGTGTGTCAGGATGAACAGAGAGGCCAAGCAGACATTAGAGTTGGACTGGTCTGATAAGCACCAAGCCTACAACTTTGATGACCACTGTGGAAGACACAGTAACATGAGCCCAGATACACAGCACCACCCAGGCTCAGCCGCCGTGCAGGACCAGTGAGTGTGACCGGTGTGCCTGTAAATACACAAACTAGACACCATTAAAATGGGTTTCTATATTTGTGCTTATTACACTCACTGCACCGCATGTCGCAGGGTGTGTAACCACTCATCATGGACCAAGTTCACACAGGACAACCTGATCAAGGCCATGCAGGAAGAACAGGCCACTTACAGCCTCAGGTCAGACCTGTAACACACTGATAAACCTCATTTAAGGTTTTCACTGAACTTACTGATGTGGATTGTGTGTGTGTCAGACTGCTGGTGGAGCGAGTGCTGCAGGACACCACCGAGGATCTGAGAGTCCAGTGCTCCAACGTGGACAGAGCCTTCAGCCAGCGCTGTGCAGAGCTGATAGAGGCCAAGACCCAGCTGGAGATGAAGCGTGTAAAGGTAGAGAGACAGACACACAGTCAGTGACATATCAATCGATTGAATATCAATTATATGATCACGTGCGTAGGTCCTGGAGCAAATTGGAGACCAGGAGAGGAATATTGTGGCCCTGCAGCAGGCCATCGATAATAAAGAGGCTCCACTGAGAGTAGCTCAGTCCAGACTTTACCTTCGCTCTCTCAGACCCAATATGGAGCTGTGCAGGGACGAACCCCAGCTCAGGTACACACAAGCACACACACATGTACACACAGAGATAAACATACACAAAAACATCTGTCACCTTTTTCCATCTCCTTCTTTGTCGCCTGCATCTCCAGTTTGGAGGGGGAGGTGAGACAAATCGATGCCACCGTGACGTCTCTGCAGCAGCAGCTGAGCGAGGCCAGAGGCTCCCTGTCCCGCCTGGAGGAGTCACGCTTGGCCCTCGAGAAGGACATTAGCTGCAAAACCCACTCACTGTTCATCGAGAGAGACAAGTGCCTGACTCAACGCAGACGATACCCAACAAACTTTACACTCTCAGGATATTGAAGATAATGACTCTGAGTGTTTGTGTGGCCTGTGCTTTGGTTTTCAAATTGTTTGGTTAAAATGTTTTGGCTTAGTTGTGCTGTGCATACAGTAAGGGTTGAAGCTTGTTAGTAGAGAGCATGAGCACATTTTATGTACTGAAAACAGTTGTTTAGTTTTGCAAAAAGGTTCACGAGTTATTTAGAACTTCTTACGGTAAGAGCAGATGCTTCAAACTGATCAGTTATAACACCAACATTATGAGCAATTGATAATTAGTGTAATGGTGAGAGCCAATGTGTAAAAACAGATGACTGTGTGAAAATAGATGACTATACGGTGTGTTTAAGTAAAACTTGCAGTTTGTGTACATTATCTGGTAATTACAGAACAAATAGTTACAGGAAACGCCAGCCTTGCAGTTATTACTTTCGTTGTTGTTTCACTAGACAAAATCAGGCAATAATCTGCATGTGACCCTAAAATGCAAAGTTTGACCACAGTCACACTTACTGTTACATTTCTTTTGGTCCTGTTGCATTATTAGTTATACTGATTACAGCTGATAGCTTCGGCTGCAGCGAAGGTTTTGTGCATATACTTTTCAATGTGCACGTTTTTCTGGTGTTTGGAGGAATCCAGATGTGAACGTGTTACAATGTCTTAATCTTCATGAAACATAACAAAGAAATGAAAACAGGGACAGTTACATAGATGAGATGGTATCTGCTGGAGCAAACTGGGGTGAGCAGCTGTTATTGCTGCATCGTATTTTATGTTTAGACAAAACGATTAACCGACTAGTCAAGAAATTATCAGCAGGTATATTTATATTTTATGTATTTCCTAGTGTCTGTGGAATGTGTTTCCAGGTGGAACCAACTATTCTGATGAATTGTTTCAGTCATAGCTTTGAAAAAAATGACTTTTATTGGTTTTGTATTTGCTTCTGTACATGTAGATAAATGACATTTTGGTATTTAGCTGAAATGGTTATCCACAATTTCTTATAAGGAGTGCAGCTGTGTTAAACTGTTATAACCTGTTATTAGCAATGTGCAATCACAGTGAGTGTAAAGCTGAAAGCAAAAGTGTAAAATCAAACTAAAGCAATGAACATGTATCTACTAGTGATGTGCGATACCATTTATTTCCTTTCTGATCCAATACCAAGTAAATTCCAGGCTGGTATCGTCGATACCAGTGCTAAGGAGTGATTATTATCAATACTTTGAGCAAAAAAAAGAGGGGAAAGGGTCCAGACAACAGAGAATGATGGAGAAGAGGAGCTGTAATGTGTATCTATAATTGGCTTCCCGCTGTAACTGGTCACATACTGTGACCCTTCACTACTGTGAAGGGACATTTCTGCAGCCCAGATACTGAACTGTGGGACTACGCCATTACTACATAGGAGACTCTTTACATGCCATCTTGGTTGTTGTTTACAACCCTCCTTCTGGCAACTGCATATGAAATCCACTCTGTTACCATGAGACTCCAGACTTAAAATTTTTTGATTCTGATTTTCTGTGGTTCACATATTTACAAAGCTGTAGTTCATATATGATTATGGCAGGTGGAAGGAGAAGTAGTTCCTATCAAATGGATATTATTTACACTGTCCTGGTAATAAAGTAGTTACTGTTTCCCCTGCTGAAGTTAAAATCCACATTTACCCCAGATTAGCCTGCTAATTTAAGATACTGATCTTTTAAAATGGGAATCGATCCTAGAACAGGAAACGCTAGGATTGGAAGCATTGGGAATTCAAAACTGATCCGCACACCACTAATAAATACTGAAGGTTTTTGATGGTAACTATAAAACAAATCTTCAGTCAGGCAGTGAAAAGGTTGGGCCACAGTGG